ATCCCATGAGAGATTACAGAAATGACGATATGAAAAATATCAGAGCATATCGTTCAGATGGAACAGTAGAGTTATAGAACGACACATACGCTTACTAACACAGAGATTCTTCAATTAAAGTGACCACGCAATCAGAATTTATGTTCAGTAATTAATATTTAAACAAGTACCATCATATCTCAAGGACAAATGCAGAGTGAAAGCGAATGCAGTCTGTGAACGAACGAACAACCTAAGTCAAGCCATATCTACTGTTTTAACATTTTGAACTGAATTACAAACAGAAGCCAAGAGCGTGACATCATATTCTGCTGCTAATATTCGGGGTCAGATGTGCTGTAGATTCATCGGTTCAAAGTGTTTGTACTGTACTTCTTAAAGTTGATTAAATAAATTAAAATCTCCAACAGCAGGTTCAATAGACATGTTTGATATATTAAGATTGTTAGAATACGTTGTAAAGTGTTCTTCATTTATCTGCAAATGTATTACCTATTTCCAATGAAACTGCCATCCCCAGAAATTTAATTAAGTTCATAATAGCATACTGTATATTAAGGGCTTAACACTGTTAATAAAATCTGACACAAGTTTGAGTCTTAATGGCTTTTTTAATTACACCCAAAAAAACATAAAACTTTGATATTCTGAAATGATTGCACATCTTGTTTGTTAGTTTAATTATGATGCCAAATATTGAATGTGGAGCATATTAAAATAAATGCAAATATATTTTTTGGAACATGCAAAGCCTAGAAACCTTATAACATGTATGATACATTTTGTACTCTATTGCACTGACTTTCATTTTATGTGGGGGAAAAAAACAACTCAAACATCGAGTTATGGAAATTACTGCGACAAGCAGCATCAGATATGCAATAATAAAACACAAGTGTAATTATGTTCAGTTGTTCTCTGAAAAGGTTTGCGATAGTTTTAGGCTATTAAACTTTAATGGATTCATTTGCATTTTTGTCAACAGTGGCAAAAATAATTAAATATTTCACAAAGTTTAATTTGGCTTTTAAATGAATGTTGTGGTAAAACATAACATTTTCCAGCTTAAATTAAACATAATAAGGGAACATATCAGGAGGAAATTTCATTCTTTTAAATCATGCCTGATTTCTTGCTGTAGTTTTGCTATAGTGCATGAAGCTCCAGCACACCTTGTGAATCTTGTATTTCCCACACAGAATAGAATAGGCTGGCTTTGTATAAGTGATAGATGTCACAAAAGCACTGAGTTGTCTCTAGTCTTTGCAATGGTTTTGCTTCTACCTTTGGACAGGATTTAGACATAGAAAGTTCAAAGCTGCCAATGGAACAGTGGCGCACGTCTGAAAATCAACTAAGCTATAGCAGGATGTGTTGAATTTATGCATCAGAATTGCAGGGGGGGGAATCCTGGAATTACAACAGCAGCTTTTCATAAACATAACTTCCAAAAGTCTGAGGACCACATTTCACACCAATTTACCTTGCATTTATTCCTTTATACGGTTTCAGGGCAAAAATGAGTAGTGCATTTTTTTTGCATGATGTAAAATAGAAACAAGAAATGAGAAAATTACAATTCACATCAGAATATCTTAACATTTGCATTCATCTTCTGATGGAATAAATTGAGGGGATATTTCAGGGCATGATTTCAAGTACGACAATGTCCCAGCAAAGAGGCTTATGATTATTAGATGCGATAAACAGTAATTATCTTATTATTCAGTTTTGTTCTTATTTTCTTACATGGAAATGAAAAGTGTTTTGAAGTACTCCGGGGCTAGTTGTTATACTTTTTATTTATATTTCTCGGGGTAGGTTTATTTTAGAAATTCAATTTCTGGACAAGTATGGTCTTTTAAGTCTTGACTTCATAAAAAGTAATAGAACATTTCCATTAAAAAAATAAATTTGTGACAATATAATAATATTTCTATAAAAGGTATATCAGATTAAATATTAAACTAATTAAGAGGAATTGTAAAAAAGCAATGTGTCATATATTAAAGCATTGTAGCAAGTGCAATGCATGACAACTTGCCATAATATATAAAAAAGAAAATTAATAATAAAAAAAGAAAAATGCATTCTTAATCAGGAAAGATGCAATAAATTAATAAAAAGTGAATGAACACATTTATGAGGTTACAAAAGGTTTGTATTTCAAATAAATGCTGTTTATAAATATTCAATACTATAAAAGATATTAAGCAGCACAACTATTTTTAACATTGATAATAATAAGAAATGTTTCTTGAGCACCAAATCAGCATTTCTAAAGGATCATGTGACACTAAAGACTGAAGTTAAATTCAGCTATGCTATCATAAGAATAAATTACATTTTAAAATATATTAAAATAGAAAGCCTTAAGCAGTTGTTTTATACTGTAATAATATTTGTATTTTTACTGTATTTGTGATTAAATAAATGCAAATGAGAATAAGAGAACTTTTGAACAGTAGTGTACTCTAAAGGTATAGTCAACTCTTGTGTAAATGTTTGCAATAGTGTAACTACTGCAAAAATATATTATTATATTATTATAAATATATATGCAATTTTAACTTTTATAAAAACTAACTTAACCTCTTAAATTACAAGGTGTCCAATGTGATTTAAAAAAATAATTTTTAATAATACATGACCTATTACTACTTGACAACTTTCATACCAGTTTCTATGTGACAATAATACAATAAAATGTCTTGTATGCATGTTTCACCCAAGGTATATTCATGCACATAAATAAAGCAGGTATAACTGATGTGTTGCTATCCTGCCGTGACACCCCACTTATCAGGTAATGATAGAGTCTGTGGGAAAACTAACATGTTTAAATTGAATAAAATAATCTTTTGCCTGCTGTTAGACACGAGAATGCCTGTATCACAGATGCTCATGTATTATTGCTTATAAAGCCATAACAATAAATGACACACCGTCAGCAGATTTCTGAAATTACAAGAGAGGACAGTAATCAATCATGACTCTCCATTCAAATATTCAGTTGATTTCTCCTGTGTATTTCCCTGCAGTGTATCAGGGCATGTCGGGAAGGATCATTAAGATGGGAAATATTAATTATAAAAATAATTTTAAAAAAAAAGAATTTTTGAGGAAAAAATACATCTTTATCTTAGCTCCTCCTAAACTCTGCTGTATGGAAGCCCGTTTCCGCCACTGAATTTTTTTTTAAAAAAAGGTAATTGCGACTTTTTTTCTCACAATTCTGACTTTTTTTCTCGCAAATTCAACTTTACATCTCACAATTCTGACTTTTTTCTCAGAATTGTGAGATACAAACTCGCAATTCTCACTTTTTCACTCAGAATTGTGAGATATAATCTCGCAATTCTGACTTTTTTTCTCGCAACTGAGTTTATCTCCCGCAATCCTGACTTTATAACTCGCAATTCTAAGAAAAAAAGTGAGAATTGCGAGTTTATATCTCCCAATTCTGAGAAAAAAGTCTGAATTGCGAGTTTATATCTCACAGTTCTGAGTGAAAAAGTGAGAATTGTGAGATGTAAATTCACAATTGCGAGAAAAAAAATGTCAGAATTGTGAGATAAAAAGTCGCAATTACCTTTTTAATTTTTTATTTAGTGGCGGAAACGGGCTTCCATACTGCTGTCTACCTGTCGACTGCCTGTGTTCATTTGTATCTATACAAACACATCAACAAGATAGAGTGCGATGATAGAGAGACGGATCGTCTTGTCCGCTTGACAATTATATCTCACAGGCGGCTCCCGTAGGACCCCACATACTTATGGCCTCTTCACTGTCACTTAATTCATTACCGCAGAGGAAGCCAGACCGAGGGGACTCCATTAGACTAATTTTAGAGAAGAGGATAGATAGGCGCTTTCTCAGCGAGTGAGCTGAATGAATCCCTTTCATTAGCACTGACTGATGGCTCGTCACCGTCACGCCGTCGATGACTGGCATGAGGGTGATGACAGAAACATGGTGGCGAACACGCCACTTGTCCATAAAGAGTGTCACTTTAGACAGGGGTGAAGGGAAATATATATGATGATCCGGTCACTTTAAGAACAGACCTGCCCTGTTCACTCAGATACATGACAAACTGCCCTTTTCAAAATGAAGTTAGCTTCCAACCTTGCTTGCCCTGGTGCCTTATCGGTGTAAGAAACTATAGTCTGCCCCGACCCAGATTCCACTCCACAATAGATGTTTGATCATGCTCATTTCCCAAAATGCCTTAATTATTATAGAGATTAAGAAAGTCAACAGTTATGTTGTTTCTAAGATCATTTGGGATGATCACATCCTAAACAAATGGTGACCAATTGTAGAATGGGAGTGGGTGTGGGACACCGAGAACCAAGACAATTAGGTGACAGAACTCCATTAACATACAAACCACAGCTGTTACGACAGGAGCAAATTCATTTCCATTAAGCGTAGTAAACTGTACATTTGTAAAAGGTTTGAGTTTAGGATGTTCTGGCTTCATTCCGACTCTGTTGAAGCCAAGGTACAACATGTACTTTGTCACTGCTATGCTGCAATAAACATCTTCATCAAGATCTTCAACGTCCTCATCATGAGAACCACAAAAAGATGGTCCGGTGAAAAAGTGATATACAATCAGAATATTAACGCTGTGCAGAAGGAGTAGAATAAAACAGGGAAAATATGTCAAGTCTGATTACCTGGATGTGAGGACTAGGAGAGTGACACACTACAATGATCTTTTTGAGCTGTAAGAGACCTATTTGAGATATATTGCAATATATAATTTGTATTTTTTTTATTGTATTAATCATTATTGTTTATTTTATATAAATATTAATTAATACAATAATTAAAATATAAATGCAATTTATCCCATGTTTTTACATCAATCTTATTACTTCATTTTTCTAATTTTATTATTTCTATTATAACTGTATGCTTTATTTTATAGTTAAAAATAGCAGAAATTGACATACAAAATTTAAAACAGACCGACCTGTTTTTTCCCCATATATTCCAAGTCGTCTGAAGCCATGTAATGGATTTTCCCATTAAAATCTGCTGCATCTATGATGCACATAAGAACCAGTGATGTTGACATCTATAATATAGCAAGAACTTCTCAGGTTACATAAACCAGAAGTGCCTTTTGCACCATAGAAGGAGAAGAAATTGTGCACAAACTTAATTGCTTCTCATGTGTTACATCAAGAATGAAAAAAGTATGCAAGATCTGAAAACAATCATAACGGCAGGGAATCATTTTTTCTCATTTAGTTCTCATTCACTTATGAGTAAATAGTTGCAAAATAATTAGGCAACTCCTTTAGTGTTTCATGGGAGAAAGAAAAACACGAGAGCAACATGAGTGAGAGGAAATGGCTTTTTTGTGTGTAGGGCTGCACAATTTGGTAGAAAAATAAATAAATATCACTGCAATTGAACTGCAATGTAAAAAGGAAAGCATACAGAAGATGAGCTGGAACTTTAAGGCCTATAGACATACATCTTTTATTTGAACTGCAATAATAAATATTAAATGCACCAATCACATTTGTTCACTTTAGTTTTATGTTTGTAACATAGATGCATAATTTATATGCAGTGCTGCTGGATTTCTTTTAAAATATTTTACAATTTTGATAGAGCCTTTTATCATCCTATTTCTGAGATTTTCTCAGGATGGGATGTTTGAAAAGGTGAGAAAATGCACAAAATGCCACAGAATGTATTAAACCCACTGCATTTGTAAGTCGCTTTAGATAGATTAAATTACTAAATGTAAATGTAATAGCTACTTACTGCTGCTGTTGTTTTCCATGTCCCTTCCTAAACGATTATGTCATTAGGAATTGCATTTTGTTATATTGTTACACAGGGAAAACACTTTTTTAAATGTCTACCATTGTTAAGAGAACGTCCACATGAATACTCTGTCCATTGACTTTCATTTATACTTTGTGGGTGGGCATTTTTTTGTAATGCTAAAATTATTTTAAAACTACAAATTATTTATGAGATATAGCCTATTTAATCAATTACACAGTGCAGTTGTGAATGAAGTCTTTAAACGAAAAGCTGTAACCTTGCGCCCTCTCGCGCTTCACAATACAAACTTTTTTCTCATTTAGTTCTCATTCACTTATGAGTAAATAGTTGCAAAATAATTAGGCAACTCCTTTAGTGTTTCATGGGAGAAAGAAAAACACGAGAGCAACATGAGTGAGAGGAAATGGCTTTTTTGTGTGTAGGGCTGCACAATTTGGTAGAAAAATAAATAAATATCACTGCAATTGAACTGCAATGTAAAAAGGAAAGCATACAGAAGATGAGCTGGAACTTTAAGGCCTATAGACATACATCTTTTATTTGAACTGCAATAATAAATATTAAATGCACCAATCACATTTGTTCACTTTAGTTTTATGTTTGTAACATAGATGCATAATTTATATGCAGTGCTGCTGGATTTCTTTTAAAATATTTTACAATTTTGATAGAGCCTTTTATCATCCTATTTCTGAGATTTTCTCAGGATGGGATGTTTGAAAAGGTGAGAAAATGCACAAAATGGCACAGAATGTATTAAACCCACTGCATTTGTAAGTCGCTTTAGATAGATTAAATTACTCAATGTAAATGTAATAGCGACTTACTGCTGCTGTTGTTTTCCATGTTGCTTCCCTCCAAAACGTTGATGTCCCTTCCTAAACGATTATGTCATTAGGAATTGCATTTTGTTATATTGCAAAGATGAAAAAGTGATATCGAGTACACAGGGGAAACACTTTTTTAAATGTCTACCATTGTTAAGAGAACGTCCACATGAATACTCTGTCCATTGACTTTCATTTATACTTTGTGGGTGGGCATTTTTTTGTAATGCTAAAATTATTTTAAAACTACAAATTATTTATGAGATATAGCCTATTTAATCAATTACACAGTGCAGTTGTGAATGAAGTCTTTAAACGAAAAGCTGTAACCTTGCGCCCTCTCGCGCTTCACAATACAAACGCGCGCTGATGACGTAGTTCATATGCGCCGCTGTTTATGTGAGTTGAATTCATTGAAATTCGTACTATTGCGATTTACCTGTTTAGTCTATTATGACACGTTGATTATATACGTAAATAAAACAGATGGACATAATTTAAGCGACCATTCTGTATTCAAGTTTGAATCTGAGGTACGATGGTGACAAAAATGCTACACTGCTAGTTAGAACATTCAGTATGTGCCTTAAACCACTTTATTTTACAGGCTGCTTAAAATGAGGATAAATGAAGATATATTACTGGAGGGGGAGAAGGTTGTATTAGTACCTTACAATGCAGATCATGTTCCCAGGTATTATAAGTAAATCCAGCATATCATCTTGGGTCTGGTGGTTGTAGTATCAGTTGATTTGAACCTCGTCTAACCGCTATGTTTTTAGGTATCATCAATGGATGTGCTCTCCTGAACTGCAGAAGCTGACTGCATCCGAGCCCCTGACACTGGAGCAGGAATATGACATGCAAAGATGCTGGAGAGAAGATGATGACAGTGAGTTTCCACCTTTCACATGAACATTTGTCCTGTTGACATTCAAGCACATAGTGAATATTATCCCTGATCTGTTTCTGAATGTGTTCATCATGTGTTTTTTCTCCCTCAGAGTGCACCTTCATCATCTTGGATAAACAGAAATGGGCAGATCCGAGCATACCGGAGCAAGAGTGCATGGTGGGAGATGTTAACATTTTCCTCACTGACCCCAGCGATCCTTCCCTGGCTGAATTGGAGATCATGATTGCAGGTTACAGAGGTTCCAGCGCATTTTATTTCATTCAGATTGGCTTGAGCCTGTCAGTAACATCAAATCATTTTTTTTAGTGCCCTGCTACAGAGGAAAGGGACTTGGGAAAGAAGTTACACGCATGATGATGTACTACGGTAGGACAAAGCCGATGATTAAAGATCTATTATTAGTAGTGACTACTTATATGTACAGTGTTTTTTTGTGTGTGTGTGATTTACCTCAACAGGTGTCCATAAACTTGGAATTCAAAAGTTTGAAGTCAAGATTGGTTTGGATAACAAAATCAGCATTGCCATGTTCAAGAAATTCCACTTCCGAGAGGTGAGAATGAATCAAATGAATTCATTCAGGAATTGTTGTTTTTTTTTATTCCCCAAGTACAAATGTTAATACTTTTTCCTGAATTCTGACACATGCTACCAAAAGTTTAGAATAATTCAGATTTTAATATTATTACAAATGACATATTACTACATTTTTTTATGAGTTTTTTATGTTTTAAAAAATGTAATTTATTCCTGTGATAGTAAAGCAGCATTAACTCCAGTCACATGGTCCTTCAGAAATCCTGAAATAAGCTGATTTGCTCAAGAAACGTTTCATTAACATCATCAGAGTTATTATCAGTGTAAACCGTGATATTAAAAATGATTTCTGAAGGATTATGTGACACTGTAGAAACAGCTGCGGAACATTTAGCTTTGCCATCACAGGAATAAATGACATTTAAAAATACATTCAAATAGCAAACTGTTTTTACTGAATTTTGAGAGAATTCTTTCATACATCCAAAAATGTGTATATTATAGTTATTTTAAGGGTTTGTACCTTTCTAACATTTTTGTGATTGCAAAAAGAAAATTCATTTTTATTTGGAAATATAGAATGTATATACTTTTTTTGCTTGTTTGTTTGTTTGCAGCTCTCCAACAGTGAGGTCTTTCAAGAGGTTACTCTTGGGGTCACCGTGAATGAGGCTTTACAGAAGCATGTTTTTGGAAACATGGACTTCATGCTGCAGAGGGAGTACGGGAAGGCACGTGACAGCAGGCAGGCACCGTTCACACCATTATCTCTGTGATAATGGTTTGTAGAAGATCATATGAAAAGAGAAAAGCCCCACAGTGCATCTCAATATGAAATATTAATCACTCATTGTGCCACAGAAAGCTGAGGTAACTAGAAACGTTTATCACGTTCTGATGTGACAAAATATTTCTGAATTTTTCTAATTCAGAATTAAATGTGATGACTCAATACTGATCATTCAATACTGTATTGTTAGAAATATTATTTTATTGTATTGTGATTTTAACTTCTTAAGGCATGGAAATCAAGAAACTGTACTATTAAAAACTTTTAATCTGCATACTGCATGTTGCAATAATTTATGTAAAGAAAACGGATATAAATTATATTTGTTATATTTTTGTTGCTTGTAATATTGTAAATCTTTGTGACTATACACAAGATACTAATCAGTTTGTCTTTCATGTCAGTTATTTGTGTTGTAGTAGATTTATGGCATTTATCGTCCTTGCAACAATAACAATAAAAAATACAGTCTTGAAAATAAGTTTGTTGTCCATTAATGCTAACAATAAAAAATTATAATTGTCTTATGATCACAATGATATGTTTCTTTAAAAAGGAATAGTTTAATGTCCTAGTAAGCTAAAAGAATATAAGCAGTTTTTCCAATTCTAGGTAAAACTTACCTAAACAGAGAGCAGTTATTGTAGAAACTTATAAACAGGTTTCTTTAAGATTCAGTTTTGCTACCAATTGTAGCACAGGGACAGCAAACATAAGCTAATCAAAATCGATCAAATCTTTTATTATAAGATGTTGCGAAACAGTATTACGCAAGACTCCAAAGGTCACATGTTATCATTCATCAACTGCTTCTTGAAGTCCATTTTCCTTTCCCGATTTGGCAGTTTAAAGACATACAAGCAAGATTTTCATTCACAGACTGGTCCATAGTTCTCACATGGATTATTATTATTTTTAAAAAAGAAAAAACAATTCCATAGGAATTTCTGCAGACAGGTCTGTGACTTGGTCCCAATGCGTCACCTGAGAGGCTCAGGTCCGCAGCAGGATGGATCATTATCAGACACAGTCTTATGATCTGAGATCAGACATTTTCTGAATGACCTGCTGCACAACCTCCAGACCCTGAGCCCACCTCACCGTCTCCTCAAAGTGCGCATTGAGTGGAACACAGAACGCCTCCTTCCTCAGTTCAGTCAACTGGCAAACTGCTATTACGCTTGCTACTCCCACAATTAGCAGGAGCAGGAGTTTTAGGAGCAGAGAGAAGACCAGAGAGCAGATGGACCGCTTGGCTTTGGGCACAGACTCTGATGCTGTCTTTTTACCTATAGTGAAGGAAGTGTAGAACTTACACTCAAAACATTGACAAGAAACACGCTGTACATATAACATGTTCTGTACATATATACAGTAATACAATGTATATAACATATCAACCTGACATATACTACAGTTCAAAAGTTTGGGGTCAGTATGATTTCTCAAAAAATAAATTAGTACTTTTGTTCAGAAAGGATGTATTAAATTGATCAAAAGTGACAGTAAAGACATGTATAATGTTACAAAAAAATTCAAGTAAGTGCTGATCTTTTTTGGAACTTCTATTCATCATAGAATCCTCAAAAAAAAAATCTGTTTTAAACACCGATAAAAAATGTTTCTTGAGCACCAAATCATCATATTAAAATGATCTCTGCAGGTTCACGTGACACTGAAGACTGGAGTAATGGCTACATTCAGCTTTGCAATCACAGGAATAAGTTAAGTTTTAAAATATATTAAAATAGAAAACCATTATTTTAAATTGTAATAATATTTCATATTACAGAATTTCTTAACATCATTGGTAAACATAAAAGACATCAAAAACATTTAAAAAATCTTAAAATCCAAACTTTTGAACGGTAGTGTAGATCAAAATACTCCAACATTTTTAAACAACATAAAGCAAAGTAGAGAGGATGCAGTGTAATGAAATAATTGAGTCTCAGTTCATGTAAGATAAAATTGTACCTTGTTTTTGAGCAGCTCTCTTTTTCTTCTCTTCTTTCTTCTTTTTCTGTTGTTCTTGAGCAGCAAGAGCAGCCATCTGAGCTTGATACTCCTTTCTTTTCCTTTCCTTCTCGTCTGCTTTTTTCTTTTTTTGTGCTTCTCTTTCCCTGGCCTCCTTTTCCCTCTGCTTAGCTTCTTTTTTCTTTTCTAGTTCTGTAAGGGATTAAAACATTCTAAAATCAATGCATAATTAATACACGAATACATAAAATGAAAAAAAATCTAAACATTTTGAAAAACAATTAAAATCAAAGAACTGTTATGATGTAGATTGTGGAATAAATATTTCAATACTATACTATGTCTAGGCCACTCATAAAAAAAGTAAGACAAAAATAGAGCCACATTAAATAACAAAAAATAAATAAATTCTAAACTTAAAATATATGCTCAACTTGTAACACTCATAATATCATTTGTAATGGAAAAGAATATAAATATGAAAAACATGCGGAAAGTTGTAGATGTTTTGGTTTCCCTACCTCTCGCTTTCAACAATCGACGTTCTCGTTCCTTTTCTGCTTCTTCCTGTAGTGCCTTCATGTGCTGCAGAACCTGGACATAGTAATTCATTTGTTAATTTGTTATGTAAGTTCATTTGTGATTGTTTCAAAACTTTGACTAAATAATCTTATTTATAAGTTCAAAAGTAATCTCTGACACTTCTGCTTCAGACCACTCAACTCACCCTGGATGCGCACTGTTTGCACTGCTTCTCATCCAAGCAATCGCCTGCAGCCTTGGCCAGTGTTGGCTCCAAGGGGTTATCCTTCAGATCCAGCCATTTAAGACTCTGCAACAAACAAATGCCCTCAATTACCAACTGCTACTAATACTGATAAGTATGAGAGGAGAGGAGAGGAGAAGATGTGTGACCAAGCATGGTGTGCATTGGTGTCCAATACTCAGAATTTGTGCTCTGCATTTCACTCATCCAAGTGCACACACACA